TCGTACAGGACAGAAATCGTGAAACCCCTCAGCACAATAATATCCTTGGGCCGTTCCGGAATTGGCCTTTGCCTACACTTTTTTATACATATAACATGCGGCAAGAGTCCTGTTTGCGGACGAGTTGCTAGCCTGCAAAAAAATAAAACCACGACAAAGGGAGACAAATGTTTATATTTTACGGAGGACACAAAAACCGATTCCCTTTTTTTCGTAGCATCTATTGATGCTCGGGTGTAAATAATACTACCCGTTCCGGTGATATATATGTACACCAAAGGCCATATACCTATTCGCTTTCACATTCAATTCTCGTGGTCTAAAAAAAAAGGTTCTAACATTGCAGTTTCAAAAGCACTATACAAATATCTTATGAGACTGCACCACGCGATTCTTGTGTATACAATTTTAAAATCGTTATTAAACTATAGCTTTTATGAGGAGGAGGACCTTTGTATATTTTTGACTAGCCATTATCCGAAGCAGCGGAGCATTTAAAAAAATATATATCATAAAAATCGGATGAAAATTATAATTATTATAATATCATTGATTTATTGCAGTATAGGTACCTATTTCATATTATTATTACGAATAATGCGATACGTCTGCCGCAGTGATATTGGATCGCCCGCTTCGACCTCGTGTCTGTCTGCAGCCTTCTGAAAGTCAAATTTCTCGGGCAACTCCTCAGATACTAATGAAAAAAAAACACAACAAGAAAAAAAAACAAGCAAAATAAATTAAAATAATCGGAAATAAAATTGACAGCCAAAGCTTTTTTACATTTGTCAGCGACTTCGCCGCGGGGACTGGCAATATAACGGTAATCGCTCCTACGCAGAGCTTTTCGCCGACTTTCTCCTACCCCCCCTCCAGTTTCCCGATACGCACACATAATAACGTATATATATATGTATAATATAATATAAACAATGTCGATTCTATATATTATTATATTATTATAATATATACGGACTCGTTAAATTTTTTATTGCCGACGCCAGCGATCGCGTATATTACTAATCCAGTAATCCCAACTTGTTCGAAATTCACTCAAATCTATTCGACGAATGAAAGTGCAGGTATCATATTATTCTTATTATTATTATTAGGTATATTGTGTAGGCCGTAGGTATATATTATAATAATAGTAATATAATATTATATTGGTGTGCTGCTCGGCTCTTGCGGCCACGTCGTTATGGGTACCTCCTTTATATAAGCATACAATGCAGATATCACGACATTTTACCTTTCCAAATTTTTTCTACTCGCCTTTTAGTTTCATTTGAAAATAAATCCTCTACGTCTCGCTTGACCCACGCACTCCGGCGATGCAAAATGGCAATGATGGCATTGGTATCGTATAATATTTACTAAAAAAATAATTGTCCAACTCGCTGTTTGAGGTGATCGCGGCGGAAAAGCAAGGGCTTAGCTTTCAAATAATCCCAAAGACCCCTTCTACCCAAAAAAAAATTAATAAATTAAATGCCAATGTCTATTGTCAAAATAGTACTGTTATATAGTTTTAAATAATATACACTACATATATAGGCACTGCTGTTTTAGTCTTTATTTTTTAAATAATTCATAAACTGGATCCAATTTTAATCTATTTTTGCAGTCAACCATTTTTATCTTTGTGCCGGACTTATTGAAAAAAAAAAATTTTTTCGTTTATTTTATAATATTTACTGGTATTCAAAGAAATGTTGAATACAATAATTGTTTACTGTTATTATAGAAATATTATGTTTGATTATAACTTTGACTTATGTGATAAATTTAACAAAATATTTTAAAAACATCGATAGGAAAAGTGGGCAATGTAAATTTGTTTGCCTATATTGGTGAAAAAAATGTAGGCCCCAAAAATTCGACTAACCTTTGAGTGGATTTAAATATTTCGTTAATATACTTACCTATCTACAGTATAGTCCATCAGATATAACTTATAAGTTATAAGGTATACCTACGCGACTATTATACGTTCGATAACAATACATTTTGGTCTATACACGTGCCGACTTAAACACCGGCATCGTCGACATCAAATTTAATATATTTTCTATGTAAATAACTTAAAACCGTTATTTAAATAATATCCAATATACAACATGTAATCTGTGTACAATATCAAGTACAAAAAGATTTAATTTTTGATTGCCGAAAATCGTATTTAATCTAAAATTCCTGGCGATAACAAAATACATGATATAATTAACATAGCAAAATATGTCATTGATATAGTTCACTTTTGATTGCAATTTGCTATTTGAAGATATTATGGTATTTTTACAGTATCCGTATCGTTCATTATTTTTTTTTTTTTTTGCTCTGCAGATTTGGGCCTGCGCAGTACAAACTCATTAATTCCGAATCGGTTTTGGAAATCATTTATATAATAATATAAACATTATTGTTTACACGTGTCCCAACAAACATGTTTGTTTTTTGGACGCTATGATCGATTTCGTGTCAAAAAACTATTAACAAACAACATATATTTATCATTATGCACCAGACGAGGACGGGAGGTAGGTAATGGCTATTTCCTGTTCATTTGTTGCGTGTGCCTATACATACATACACACCATACATACATACATACATACATACATACATACATACATACATACATACATACATACATACATACATACATACATACATACATACATACATACATACATACATACATACATACATACATACATACATACATACATACATACATACATACATACATACATACATACATACATACATACATACATACATACATACATACATACATTCGGGTGTGTGTGCGTGTATAGTTTACACCCTCTGCGGAATATTTTAATACAAATGGAATGTTTCGGCAAACAACACCGCGTGGTGTAATGCATTATATTTTAATCCAAATAGTATTTTCGAAAAGGCTGATAAATAACGACGAGCTGATATGCACTGTAATGTAGGAACCGTAGAGAGAAGCTCGGGTTTTCGCATTAAGGAATGAAAATAATACCTATGTATATATTATTATCTTTCTTCTTTGTTTATCTTGAATCCTCTGCTTCGGAGATGTCTACAGGCACGCGTGTCCGTCCTCCGAACTATGTCAATTTCAAAACTTTTGCTTCGGGACAGCAAATAGTTCAAAGTTCGAACGGTCTCTGGCCAAATAACGACTATCGCCACTCGTCTATAATTCAATAACAATACAAACACCCGACTAATTTATTGCGTATCGTAATATAGTTGAGTGTATTTAAATATATTATTAAATGCGATGCTCGGAATGGCCGTTAGAGCGATTTCAATGCAGCGTACCAACAATTGATTTTGACCGGTCGACGTTCACAATCGATCAAATAAAAAATGTCTTCAGCAAATAAATAGTAGAAATATGTGCCTATATGTTTTTTTTAAATTGAAATAATCATAAAACAGTCATTTTGTAAAGCTCTCTCGGGCCTTTGTTCATAACCAGTGATGCGCGTTGGGTAGTTTTTTCGTATCGGTTACAAAATAAAATTCGAATTTATAAAAATATAGGTGGGTAATATCGACGAATGCAGTGCGCCTGCCTTTTCTCAACATATTGGAGCTTAACCTTCAGTTAACAGTGTAAACCGTGTTAATTCGTAAATGTAAATTCGAAGGTTACAGGTATAGCTGATCGGTATAGACGGATGACATAATATTCAAACACCTAATTAGTTTTAAATCCATATGTAGATATAGGTACGTATTAAAATTTGTCCGCATAATATTATACAATATTATACTTACACGTGCGGACGTTATACCTACTTGAAATAAATGCAAATACAATATGATATACTATATTGATGGCGTTGACCGAGTTTTCGAGATGTAGTTTATCGGCCGGTCCAGCACTGTGCATAGTGTGATCCCTTTGATTGGGTCCGTCGCAATGTTATTATTCTAAGCAAACGCCTGTACTGCTTTATGGTTTATTTTACGAGTTGTCGTGAGCACGATAAAAATATATCGAAGAGCCCGCCGACGATCTCGCGTGAAATAATCGTTCGATGGGTTTTTAAACATAAGCAAAAAAATATACGGTCATCATAACTACTGCAGTTGTTGTCGTTATAAAAAAACGCTTATGTATGAGTGTCGTAAGTTGTGAGTGCACAAAAATAACAAGTGATTGAGATTTCAAATAAAATGTTCGCAATAATATTATACCACTTATATACCTAGGTGTATACATATATGGTGTGTATATGAGACGGTTGCGAGGAATACACATTTATTTCGAATACACAAGCGAGGCTGGATTTTTATTAAAATTTAATTGAATGTTTCAAACGAGGAGTTTTTACGACGAAGTTGTTTTTATAACTTGCCTGATATTTTAATATAGTAGTCGGTGGTTCATAAAAATGATAGTCGTAAATAAACAATCAAATTAAGACGCCGAAAAAGATTCGCTCTGTTTTTAATCACCGGGATTTAAACTATTTGAATGCCGTAAATTTTAACACGTTTTTATTTATTAAAAAAAAAATCTCATATTTTAAACATTCAGCTACAATAGTTCTAGTGCATTGTCATATTGCATTTTAATTCGATCTCCTTAGCTTTCTAAAAAATATTTAGAGCGAAACGTAATTTTTATCAAAATATTATAGTCTATTAAAAAAAATTCACAGCAAAGCCCACGGAACAGAAAATAATATAATATTGTGTAGAACTTATGCAATAAAATAGAGTTACTGCCGTCTCCGTTTTACTTCCAGAAAAACAGTGATAACCTATAGAAAATTAAAAAAAAAAAATTTGAAAAATTGAGCTACCGCCTTATTCGTTGCGTATGTTGAATATTATATAATTTAGTTGAAGTTTGAATGTATACACTTTTAATACATTTGCAAACCTATTAGATAATAAATAATAATAGAATAATAAATATTCAGTTTTTAACAATCAATTATATTATTGTATTACAGAATAATACCTATATGGCTATATATACAATGATTATGAAAAACACGTATCTTTATCTTTCTACAGGACCTTGTGTGACCGGAGTGGTTGGACTTAAAATGCCGAGATACTGTTTATTTGGAGACACGGTCAACACAGCCTCGAGAATGGAATCCAACGGACAAGGTATGTTTTATATTATATCCTGCTGGAGCTCGTCGACGTTAAAAAAACAACACTGACCGTTGATTTAACCCAGAAAGGAACAATACCCGTTTAAGACATGTACCTACCTATTATTTCACCACATTTACCGTGTACGAAGAAATGCTCCAATGCATATTAAATAGGTACTCGAACACAATATTATAGTATAGGAATTATAGGTACCTACTTATACTATTATTTTTGTATCCGTACAGTACATTTGGATCGGATCGCTCCCTAGATCGGTCACTGGGTCACTGCAGTGTACAGACTAATAACTATTATACATTATAATATACACGAATTTCCTCTTTGCACTGCGCACAATTGAATCTCCCCGACACACATACGTGTATTGTATAGGTATATACCTACATCATTATCCTGCAGTATACCGTCGTCTATGATAAAGCTGTTCCTCTGTCCTTAACGGTGTACGTAATAAAATATTAGATGCATTGTGCTCGCACATAATAATATAATATAACATCAGCTCAGGCAAAACTAATTTGGATAATCGAATTCCATATCATACGACGTATGCACAACAACGACATATTATTCTAATATACATACCTAATAATAATAATATGATATAAAATACGAAGGTACGCACGTATTTTAATCCGGACATAATATAGCTATTATCATTTTCACTGAGTATACCTATATATATCGTATTATCCGATTGGGGTTGCATATAATAAAATTTAGGTATACTATTCAAAATTACAAACCTAAATCAATTTTATGTGGCCGTAATAAATAGGTAGGTATAACTGTGGTATACACAATATGATAATACGCAAAACGGTAGATGGTAAAAAGGTTCGTCTAAAATATTATATAACTACACTACAATGGTGTACCAAGTGATGCCGAAATACTATTCACAATAATAATATATATTGTTACTAATATCTGCAGCTGCACTTTTATACGCGTATGGGTGTTTTCATATCCAATTTGTATTTTCGTTCGAAATGGTGCTCACCTGTCATAAATCATCCCGACTTCAAATAATTTATGATCTCAAAAATTAACTTCAGTTCATATTTTTCAATACACCGAAGTGTCCATCATTATTCATTCAATCTGCGCTCGCGTATGATGTCTATCCGTCGAACAGCATTTTCCATATAATCTGTCAATTTGGCGCACGTCAGAAAATCCCACCGAACTCGTTCGTCATGCCAACCGATCCGTCTGAAAGATGGTCGGTGTGCATACTTACGCTGTAGGTGCCTGGCAACATAATCGTCAGCTTCGTGATTAATCCAAAATGTTATCCGCACGAGACATTGACGGTGTGTCTAGAAAACTCGCAGTAATCCAAAATTATTACCTATATCAAAACACGTCGTCGCTACCATTAAAATATGTGAATATACAGGTATATTGTAACGGGAAAAGTTAATACCTATACTATTATTACTTAACACTACCACCGTCGAATCCATCGTTGATTAAACCTTTGATCGTTGCGTGTTATCATAATGACACCATAGAATATTATACAAATTTATTGTGATTCACGCGTCTTAAGTCTATACAGATATTGAAGATTTACACGCTCTCTAAATACGAGTTTCGGTGCAAATTTAACAAACCTATATATAGATATATTATATCAGCCTACTGTATACATAGTTATACTTGCTCAAACCATCTCGGGCAATGTGATCGCCATTGATAAATTTAAATGCTATTGTCTATTTGTTATTATATTACTCGATCCCATTGTTATTGTTGACTAAGCATAGACTTTAGTGAGCAGTCCGGTCTTGTAGTATTGCATGTAATCTCAATTGTATCAAACATTTTGCTGTTGGTAAATAAATATTATAATATTATTATTATACTAAGATTTCTGTTAAGGCATTTGGAATTTCAGAGGCTATTCGATTACTTACATATTTTTAGTTTTTTACGGCACGCGATTCTGCAGAGGTCTTAAATTTTCCAAATGAGCGCATATACTGATAAATGCACAAGACAATTAGAAAGACAAAATAATATGTATCGCTGACGTCGCATTCAACTTACGCCATATAGCAATGATTTTTAATATTTTTCATTTGCCTTTGAAACCATGTACTAGAAGCCTTCTATTAAATTTTCAAGCTTTTTTAACTAAGAAATAAAATGTTATTGATATTTTTAGAAAAAAAACTAAAAACAAAATGGAATATAAAAATGTTCCTAAACAGTTCAAAACAAATCATAATATTTCGAAAATTTTATCCTATATATAAAATGCAAATATAAACTACCAGTGAAATTTTCATGTACATACATTAATTTGTTTTAGAGTAACAACAAAAACCAAAATCGATTTTGTGTAAAATCGATTTAGCTTAAAAATTCCCGTTTTTCCTTAATTTTTCTTTTGTTTTTCAAGGCGCTTTTGAAAACTACTGGAAAAATTTTACTTTTGACCCCCCAAAGTACCAACTAGATTCACTTTCCTATCAGAAAAGATACTGTGGAAAAAAATCCAAGCACGTTTACTGTCCTAAAAGGTGATGACAGACACAAAAAAAAATTAAAAATTAAAAAAAAATTAAATAAGAAATAAATAAAAAAAAAACACACATCATTGTAAAATCAATACATTCATCGTTCCACTCAGAATCTAAAAATACTTAAAATAGTGGTTAACTATTATATAGTGGTATATTATATTATATAATATCTATTTGTTTATTGTTATATTGTATATTATTATATGATAAGATTTAAGGATAGAACATGTAAAATGTTCGTCGATCGTAATCCGAGTAAATGTAGGGATGAAAACGAAAAAAATGATTTTCTGTGCGCACGTCACACTCGGGGCAAAAGAGAAAATAATTGAATGGGAGAAAAACTCAATTAACTGATTGTTCCGGGCAGTGAACACTAGCCACATATATATATTATATATTATATATATATAGTTTATAACATTTTAATGTGTGTGTGTATTTTCTAGCGTTGAAAATCCACGTGAGCCCGCAAACAAAAGAAGTGCTCGACACGTTTGGCACGTTCGACTTGGAACTCAGAGGCGAAATCGAGATGAAGGTGAGGAAACGGATTTAGGTCCATTATTTTCTAGTCCATTACGCGTCATTTTTGTTGTCGTCTATAGGTTTTATTTATATATAATATATTATATTATACCTATGTGTGTGTGTGTAATAATATCATCTGCACGCTACGTATATTATATACTATTACTTTGACTGAAAAAACGGCGAAAGGCGGTGCGAATCACCCTGTGGTGCATTCAAGAGGTTGTATCTATGGGGGGTGAGGGTAAAGCCTCCAATCAACCCTACCACCCCAAACCCACCCAACGACCCGGACACGAAATGTCGCAGTGATGATATACCGTGTCGGTTATAACTTATAGCTATTGTCCTGTGATAATATTATATAATATATACACTTTTAACCCTTAGCCAATATCGTATTTAAATTTAAATTAAAACACATCTGGTACAGCGATGAAAAGAGAAATGGCGACAAAAATTATTACTATAATATAAAGTAATAGAATATTTATTTTTCTTTGAATTACAATAAGTACCTATATAAAAATCAAATTTCCAACATGTAATTGACTATAGTTGCTATATAATATCCAAGTACTTAATTATTCAGTTGAGATGAATTGAGTATAGTTGACCAAAATTTTCTGGATACCCTTGCTACCACACCATTGCAGAGCTCATATAAACATTAAACACTTCTGAACTATACGTTAAAAATTGAAATTCTAAAAAAAATATTCTGCTTCTAAATATGAAATCAAACGTGTCATACAAAAAGTAAAAATATTAAAAAAAATGTTGTTTTTTAATGACTTAATATTATGCAATACAAATATTTCCCTAATCATTAATAAGAGGGTAATTTTAGAGAAACGGAAGGTTTACCTTTCAAAAAATCACCTAGTCTCCAGTCTCCTAGTTTATTACTGCAACTGCGTATATACACGAGTTATAATATAATACATTGTAAATAATAATATTATTCTTTACCTACACAATCATTATTTTATTTTTCATAAAATCATAATATCCTGCTTTAATATAATATACTCTGGTTTTATGTATCAAATATAATGTTGTATAACTGTCAAGTTTTCCCTTTCATATAATATAGGTCGATAAATCCTAAAATACGCCACTGATGTAAGCATACTAGCTGCAATATCTACCTATATATCTGCCCCACACTTCGCAGCTATATCACCACATATAGTATACTAATGAAAATCATTTTTTTTTCTTCTTTCTGCCTCGCCCAGGGAAAAGGAAAAGTGACGACGTACTGGCTGTTGGGCGAGAAAACTCCAACCACCGAAACGGCACCTGTACTTCCGGTGAAACCGATCGGATCTTTTTCGAAATTGCACGCCGCCAACAGCGTCGGGTCGTCGTCTACCAAGTCCGTGGCCAACAGCATAGCCAACCACAACAATATCAGCGCGTCTACGCCGCTCTTGCAAGGCGACAACGGCTAAGAAGATTCGTCCGATTTAGTATTATTTTTTTAAATTTTTTTTTTATATACATACATATAAATAATTATATTAATACTATAGTCACTCAATAAAACATCCGTCACCCCCTCCCCCTCTCCATCAAACCATCTACGCCACTTCACCCACCCTGCAACAACGATCGCTACCGATCAACTCTCGTTTATTCAAACGGTAATATGTACGCAATACGCATTTTCGTGTTGTACTTACTATATATTATTATACTGTCTGCTGCAGTCTAAAACTTTCCTTCTCGATCGAAAACCCCTCTCCATTCGTCGTCCTCTCGCACTCACCCGCAGTCGCGATTTTCGTCACAGACGCACGTCGTATCTACGTAAACGCTCTGCAGACTATATAATATTATAATATCGTAACAATCATAATATTATCGTCTTTCGCGACGAAAGTCAGCATCGACGGCAGACGGTTTATTATATACTCGTATATAGATAAGTCGCAGATAAACGAAAATCGATAACAAAAGCATTTCGCCGTTGGCGCGTAGAGGCGATAGTACAACGACGTTATGACAGGTCGACGGTCGTACTCCATAGTCAAGTTAGAGTCAGACCATCTCTCACGACGATGCGGAAATAATAATATATAATATCATATCATATTAAATGGACCTACGACGACTGCCGATGGTCTCTCCTTGCACAGCAGCCGTCCAGACGAAAATATTGCCAATTCAAAAAATGTTGTAAATACTAGTGGTACTAAATAAAATATATTCCTCTGCGGGATGATAATAATATTGTACAGCTCACGTGATCAAGTCCAGTCGTGCGATGTGCGCAGCTGCATGTAGTGTAATATTTTAATTATAATATCCTACGATATTAAATTTCGAAATAACGTGGTTCTGTTTGTGTGTGGGGAGGTGATGTTAGTATGATGAAGGGGTGGTTGGGGGGTCTCTGTATTTAGGGGTATGGTGGGCTAGTGGGTACGAGGTGGTCGTAAACTGCATAATATTATAGTAGTATTATATGGTGCGACTGTCACCACGACACAACGACAGAAAATCGAACGGCAACCTCGCGACCAGAGGATGACGACGATAATGATTATTATTATTGTACCCACCGTGAGCGAATCGATGCGTACCTTAGTATCCGTTTTATGTAACCATCGGTACCGCGATGAATAGTTCTCACTGCATCCGACATTATAAACACTGCAGCCGATAATCACGAATTATTTCATGATAACCACGATAATATTATTATTTTATATTATGTACACCAGCCGATATTCTTCGCGCACAAGAAACTCACGGGCTGTAATGACGATGTGTGTAAAGACTAAGGACTTTATTATAATATTATAATATGGACGAGCGGTGGAACCGTGTTTTAGGTGCCTGTAATAATATGGTTGTAGCGGTATAATAATCTCCGCGGTTGTGCTTTGATTTGAGGGGGGGGTAATCGTAAGTGAGGCACACTTTGGCAGTAAATATGTATTATCGTTATCCGTAGTCATCTGTTGTAATAATCCCATTTGAAATACCTACCTGTAAGATCGTGATAACACTTCTACAGGAACGAGGACAACCATAATTGGTCTCGGGATTGAAGTCGGTGGTTATGAGGGAAAAGTGGTCGTAAACAATAAAAAAAACTACCCTGTCCTAGGCGTTATAATTCCACAAAGCCCAATTTATAATATTGCATATTATAATAATAGGATTAGATAATAATATAATATTATGTAAGTTGGCGGGCGGGAGGAATAATATTGTCCGATGATGGATAATGTTATATGACGACATATTATTATTGGTGTTATTATTATTATTATTAGATTAGATTTTAATATTTTCTATTTATTTTGTGGAGTCCAAGAGTACACAATTTCATTATACTTAAAAGTAATTTATATTCCCATTTTATAAAAATATCAGATTAGGTACATTATAATAAATCAAGTAGATTAGATTTTAATAACATATTATTATTGGTGCCCGCGATTTAGGTAAATTGATACGTTCAGATAAACAGCAGACCTTGTGGGCTGTGATAGGTACACGACTACACGAGTACGGTAATTCCTGACTACCGTTCCAAAAGCTGTGCAGATAAGCTAGTTACAAATTCAAGAATATAGTGGGAAGTATTTTTTTCTGTAAATTGTATTTCAATTACTTATTGATTAAAAATTAATTTACACAAAAAATAAAAATAAAGCGTCTGAAATATAATTATGTTTATGTTTTGTTATATAATACCTACAAATTATTTCAACTAAACACTTAGTTAATTCACCAAATACAGACAATTTCGTTAAAAAAAGATTGGCAAAAAAAGAAATAGGTTTCATAAAAAATAATACGCAGTCTGGGAATCGGCAGGTTTACTCTGATGCAGTTACATAGGTATTAACATAAAGTATTAAAATAATATTTTACAACACAATTGTTTTTTTCACCCATTCGGTTCCTAACGAGTAACAGTAACTCGAATAAAAAAGAAAAGAAAAGTATATGACCCGACTACCAAACTGCGAACCAAACTGAACTTAGTTGATATTATTTTTCTGAAAGCGTAATAACCGAACTATACGGTTATTAGATTCCATTTTGAATTTTCATATCTTAAAATAACTTACAACCGATGCTCTCGAAAAAAAATTTTGAAAAAATGAACTTGCACGAGATTCGTCACAAAACTTTGTCTCGTTTTTCACACATGCACATACCTAATATAGGTGCGTACCTATAAAATAATAAATAATGCTTCAAGGTAGGTAGATAATATGACGTGGACACGTCGTCGTGGGTCCAATCATCATTATTTACTTATTACTAATTATGAAATATAACGATACATAAATATGGTATATCATAGACCTGCAGCCATAGGCGAGAATAGGAGGGGGGCTAGGGGGCTTTAGCCCCCCTTGAAGTTTCTATAGCCCCCCAAAAAACTAATGATTTCACTACTATAATTTAAAAGCATCATAAGAGTTTCAAGTATAGACCTGAGCTTCAGCCCCCCCCCCAAATTGCAAACACTATTTACGCCAATGCCTGCAGCTCGTCCAACAATTAATAGATATGATTCGGTGCTGTTTTTTTTCTTGCAATAAAACGCTGATATTATTTAAGGACACCAACGGCTATTTGTACCTATACCACCTGTAAAGATTTCCTTCCCACAGGTCTTGATTTCATAATATTTCGATCGCGTCGATGTTGCTGTTATTGTTATAATTATGACTTAGCCACGTAGGTATGCGATGGCGCTAACGAGTAGACTATTAAAATTTAAAAAAAAAAAACCATAGAAGCATACCAATTATTGTTATTATTATAGGTATATTATATTATGTTATTTAAATTAAATTATTTTGTAAAACGGTTCGTCTTTGCGCTATTAGGTCGTATAGGTACCAAAAACAACGGCTTCGGAGTGTTATAGTTCTGCACCATAATATAACTACTATGTGTTATTGATGTTAATTTATCGATGAGATACTTAGGAAAGTTGTAGGTATTTAGTATTTTTGAATACGTATTTGATCGTTCTTGTAATATACAAGAGACTCTCTCTGTCTCGTCCCTCCTCCCCCCCCCCCACCATTTTATACAATTTGTTTTAATGTCTAATACTATTTACATTTTACATAAGTGACACGTACCATTTTTATTCGTATTACATAGTATTATAGTATAATATTATAGGTACGATTTTTGTTTAAGTAATAGTAATAATAATAAAAAAAAAATAATAATCCATACGTTTTAAGTATGAGTCTCTTATTATGATATTATTATTATTATGTATAAAGTTAAATATTATTATATTACCAATGTTATATTGTAATAACATTTTACCTATTCGTTTTCAACAACGTATAAGATAAGCTGTGTACATTCGATGTGATAGCATTATTAATAATAATAATATAAGTTAGTGATTAATAGTACTTTATTATGTTGTGTTTTTTTTTTTAACGCTAACAATACTTTTGTGGGTTCTTACCAAAAAAATATTTTATGTGTACAATAATATCGACGTAATGTCGAACCAATGGTAAACTAAGTACTGCATGCTGCACGTGCTACAAATAGGTATGCTAAGGCTTAACATTTTAACTGTTATTTTTTTTTCTCGAGCAAAATCCAAGTGTGACATATATTGTCGCGAGTTTTTTCCAAAACCATTTAGTAGGTAGGTACTTGTTAATCGCATTAATAAGTCCGTGACTATAATACGGCCCAGCTAGAAAACTCAAAATGATTACAATATATTATACAGACTCCTTGGAGTTTTAAGACAATCATAATCAACAAACATTAATGACAGATCATATTATAATATGCCTGTACAATTATTATTATTATTCTGGTTATGTTACCGCTTTGTGTTGATTAAAATAATATATTAATCGTTAATATTGTTTTTGTTTTTTTTTTTATTATTATTATTATTCATGTAATAACTATTATATTAATATTATGCATGTGCCTAATAAGTTGTGTTTATAACAGTCATTCATTTAAAAAAAAAGGCAAAAAAAAGAAAATTCATGATCTCATTTTGCTCCCTATATAGGTACTACATAATATAAGATATTACCTATATCTCTTGTAATACTATATTATTTATATGCCTACAAGTGTATTAAATGATATTATAGTTTATTGATTTTGTTTTCCTCTTTGTATTATTATTATTATAAGTACTTTACTCTGCTTTTCTTGTTTCTATTTTAAGCTTTTTTTTTTTACGAAAGTTTTCAATACCTCAGTATTTTATTTTTATAGAGTTAATGCTTAGAGTAGTTATTATAATATTATACTTTCAACGTTATTACTTACCTATATGGTTATAGGTATAGTTGTACCAAATAATATTAGACCCTAGTGTTATATCTCTGGTAAAACGTAATTTGCCCATTTTGTTAATATTATAACAATATACGCGAATCACAGTCGAATACATAATATTATTATTGTATAAAATCAA